TATCGAGCTCTTGACCAAAAATAAGTTCTCGTTCCTAACACATAAATTCCCCAAAATAATAAATCGCTAAAACCACTCACCCGATCTTTTACTAAGTGTAAGGATCTTCGTACTCGCTAAATTGTATAAACTTGTCCCGTGATAACGTTACGCTGCCCAAATTACTCATTGTGATAGAGTAATCGTTGTATTCTTGAGTAAGGAATAACTTGCCGCTTAATCTCGTACTTGATTATCCTAAAGGTAGAGGATAAGTCAACTGAAGTTGATTAAGGGAAGTTTAAGAAACTCCATAACGGAAATAGGCCTGCCACGTGACTTAGGTCCGGAACAATAACCAAAGTCTTAGAACTCCACTCGACAAATCCAAACGCCTCTCTCGATAGGTTGTTGAGTTACGTGACACGAAGATCACACCATTCGAGCGACTGACTCGCCGTATTCTGAGTGTGACAATAGGATTTGTGCCCTGATAAAGTGACACAGAGATTTTTGTGATGATGGTAGTTAAAAATTTTCGGAAATTTAGATTTTATATCAATTATATATTTCAATAAACAATTGTATATATTGTTTAAAATCTTTAAAATTATCCGAGAATCAAAAAATCTGCTAATTTTTTGTAATTTCACATGACATCGTGATCTGCAGATGTCACACTTTATTGCAAAAGCGCCATAATTAAATTATAGTATCGGTATGTTATTTAATTGAATAAATGTACCAATAACTGATAAAGGTATCGTCATTTAGAGAATCAAAATTAGAAAACAGTATTAGAGTTAACGTCCGAGATATCTTTTATTTAAAACAAAAGAAAATTCTATTACTGATAAAAAAGATCTACTAAGACAAATTTCTAAGAATCAACAATTATGAACTATATAAAAAGAAATAATTTACTAAAAGTTAAATAATTTAGAAATACTATTATAATTAATAAAGTATAAAATAATATTTATGTCTAAATATTAATTATATATTAGATATTATTTAATAATAACTTTCTTTCTTGCCGTTCTTTTTGGCGGTTTCTTCATCAATTTTTCCATTGGCAAATTTAACTTCGTCATGTTTTTTTCCGTTAATTGTTCCTTTGGCGAGTCTGGAAGTTTGAGAGACAGAATCACATGTAGCGCATACTTCTTTAAGTTGATCAGCTTCATCACAAGTCTCAATAGGCTATAATAAAAAGGTTAATATTGTATTATATAATTAAATAATATGAAATAATAATATTATATTGCTTACCAATTCTGATCCTTCTTTAGTGCATTGGGATTTACGGATAATACCTAAGATAGTTGTGAGAGATGCAGATACAGTCGCGTCACAGGTGTCTTCGTTTAAAACTTTTTGTATATCAGAGCAAATGCACTCAATCTTTCCTTCCGATAACTTTTCACAGAAACCTCTAAGAAGAGTTTTACCATCGAGGCTTTCTGATGTTTCGGATACAGGAATATGCAAACTGACGGCAAAGTAAGATAAAAAGGAAATAATGGCAATTAATGTGACGAAGATTTTAGTAAAAGAAGTCATAGTTGGAATTGTTATAATTGTTTATTAATTTTTTACTTGAATAGTTTTAATAAAGATTAAAAATGTGAATGTGAATGATTTTAAAATGCGAATGCGAAATGAGAATGTTTTGGAATGAGAATGATTTGGAAGAAGCTCCCAGCTGTGGGCCTTTTTATATTTCTCGTGGTATAGCATCAAGAAAAACTTTTAACGGAAAAGAATTAAAGCAAACTCAGTAAGCACAAGTACTCGTAATGTGTTTACAAAGATAATTATTCATGAAAATATTCGTGAATAAAGAGAACAATGAGTAAATGAAAGAAATCATTAGGTAAATGCGCCAAAAAAAGTATTTTCTAATGACGCATATTAATACTTACGTGTTTGTTTGGATGCTTAGAATTCATCTAGAGGCCGCTGCAGATAATTTAATTTCATTCGTTTGTGTAACATTAGGATTGTAAACCAAATCGGGAAAATTTTAATATTTCATACATAAGACTACGTATGAATCTGTGTACGTAGCTAATTGTCCGCAAACATCAATTTCTTTTTATGGAAAACAACATTTAGTTTTGCATATTTAATTATTTACTTTTTTAAGCATTAATTCTTGAAATATTCATCAAAGGAACCAATAAATTATTGATTGATTATATCGTGTCAACCAAATCATGTAATATTTCTTTAAACACTAAAATACTAAGAAAATTAGAATCTTTATTATACTTACTGCAGATACGCTAAAACTGAAATTATTTTGTTGGTCTTTTTTCCTGCTGAACACTTAATATTGCATTTATTCTATCAATAAATAAGAATCTTGGTAATGATTTGGATAATGAATTCTATTCTTATACAATTTATTTTGTTAGATGATTGATTACGTTAAAATAACAGGTATATGCATGAACTTCACATGCTGAGGTAGGGTAATGCGAGCTAAGTGGATATGTAATGCAATATGTGAATACACGTCATTATTTTAGAAAAAAGTAATAACTTCTTATTATTTACCTTTTAAGAGTGAATAATAAATGAATTTTTTTAAACAAATTTAGTTTGTACAAAGAATTCGCTAAAAAAAAATTTCTTTATCAAAAAATGATAACGCCAAGTTAAAAACCTGCAAATGATTATTATAAAATATTCGCTTACTCAAGCCATAATGATATATTTTTAGAATTCCTGGTTTTCAATTGGCAACACTCAAATATACATACAGTTCTAAATCGATTTCCATAAATGAAGTGACGGAGCTAACATTATGGCGCTTTTCAATAAAGTGTGACATCTGCGGATCACGATGTCATGTGAAATTACAAAAAATTAGCAGATTTTTTTGATTCTCCGATAATTTTAAAGATTTTAAACAATATATACAATTGTTTATTGAAATATATAATTGATATAAAATCTAAAACTCCGAAATTTCCAACTACTATCATCTCAAAAATTTCAGTGTAATACTTTATTGCAAAGCGCCATAACTAGTAATGGGCAAATCGCAGTTTTCCCAAATATCCCGCGCGGGATGCGGTTTAAGCGCGTGATGAGCGTGATAGAGATTACCTTGTGGATTTCTTAAAATTTTGTTAATACGGGCCGGCTGGCCTGAATTAGGGAACATATTAAAAATCTTGTGCAGGATCCAAAAAATCTCGCTCATTTTGCTCGCGTGATTTGCACGTGATCCCGCGCGGATCCTGCGCATGCCCATCACTAGCCATAACTATGATTACGTGAATGGTTTAAAAAAAATGACGAAAAGGTGATATTAGAAATTCGTTCTTCGACGATGAAATTTTATCCTTTCCTTCTTAATCCTATTTACTATTCCTATATGTTATAAAATAATGCCCGTATGCAAATGCTAACCTTGCATATATATGCATGAATTCGTTATTTCATATATAGACCAAGAATATTGCAGTTAATTATGTCATATTTGTATAACTTATAAATCGGTTAGCTCAAGCGCTTTAATCAATTATTCAGAATAGGAAATTTTTAATCAGTAAAAAAAAATAGTTTAACGGATCAATTATATTTAATATTCCAACAAATAATATAAGCTACTATAATACGTCATAGAGTAAAATTTAATTAAAGAAAGATCGTTTTAGCCAATCCAAAGTTCTTATTATTCCAAAAGAGATAAAAGCCTAAATCTTCTTTTTTTTCACTATAAGTTCTTGACCAAATGATTAAAAAATTGAGATCATATATAACCCTTCTTAATTTTTTTTATAAGTTTATTTAGAAGAATAAAGCAGTTTTCTTTGATTATTATGTTCAAAATGTTATAATGGTTATATTTATATTTAGAAAAAATTTTGTCTATATTTTTGCAAAAAAAATCAACTATAACTCTACAATTTCTTGTTTAAATAACTTGAAAATTAAATTTTTAATCTTTCTTGATCTTTTCTACAAGTTTATTTCGATATATAAAAACAATTTTCTTTAACTATTATACTAAAAATAATATAATAAATATATTTATATTTAAAAAAATTTTATATATATTTTTATAAGAAAATTAATTATTCTTTAATTGTAGAATAAATAAATTTGCTTACTAACTTTTTTAATATTTTTTTAATCAGATAAAAATTCTAAATATTGACTTTAACAATATATCAACTAATTAAAAAATAGTTTTAAATATCTGTTTTATTAACTTTATTAAAAAATTTTTTAAATTTATTAAAAAACTTCAGAGTAATAAGATTTTAATTTTTGTTTTAAAAATTTTTCTATAAAGTTTTTAGTATAGAATTTTTTAAAATTTATATGTTTCAAATCTAAAAAAAATTATTTTTAATACAAATCTAAATTTTTATAAATGAATTATAAAAATTCTAATAATTAAAATTATAATTCTAATATATATATATATATATAATTTAGCTCTAGCTATTTATTTAAATTAGTTATAATAGTATTTAATTTATTAAATAGAACTCAAATATTAATATTAGTTAGAAATTAAAGAAAAATAAATTATTATTAGGAGATCTGAGCTTAGTTCTTTTTATATTTGAAATATTAAAGTCTGAAAAAACTTTATTAATAAAAAATAGAAAACCTTATATATATATTTCTAAACTATAATTTATTATAACTTGAAAATTTATTTTTATTATTCATAAAACACTATTTTCAATTAATTAGTTTATGAAGCTTCAGTTTTTCAATTGCTTTACTTTCTACCTAAAAGAGTAAATAAAGCTTAAATTTCAATATAGATATTTTGTTTTCCTACTCAAAAAGATAAGTAAAACTTAAGCTTCATAATTATTGCATCTTACTTTTTAGATTTCAGTTTGATAAAGTAATTCTGAAAACTAAGTTTTAATCAACTACAGCTAATTACTTAATTAGTGTGATATAAGGTAATATAAACTAAAATAAACAAACAAAAGAATAAAATTATTGTAGTATCTAAACCTCAATCTTGTCTTGTTTTAGAAAAACTATAATACTATATTTGAATTATTAAGCAGACAAATTTGTCTGTTACAGTTTACAGATTAAGAGATAACTTCATGAGTTCTTAACCAAATAACTTGAAATTAAGGTTTTAATTCTTCTTAATCGCTTCTACAAGTTTACTTAAAAACACAAATTCAGTTTATTTAATTATTATGTCTAAATTAAATATTATATAGATTGTATATCTAAAAAAAATTGTAGAAGTTAAATCAACTTTGAATTACAAATAATAGAAGTTTAAAGTTTTTAGATCTAATCTACTTTTACAAGAAAAGTGGATCTTGAAGAATTATTTAGAATTATAAATGTTTTATAAAATAGGTGAACAATATAAAAAATAAACTTCGTTAATGATTAGTAATCATTAATTTTTTAATATATTCAGCGGAGAGTTTGCCCACCTATTCTATAGAACATCCGGAATTATTAAAACTTTACATTTCTAACTACTATTTGCAAGTGTTTTAATGGTTAATTTCTAATAAAAAAATTTTTTTACAACATAAGGAATAAAATGAATACAATGGCCAATCAAATCAAAGAAATTGATCATTGATTATTCTAGAATATGATTTCCTAATTTGGTAAAATCTCTTTTCTAAAAAAAATTTCTAAAGACTTCTATTATCGTATACTGGATTGCTATCATATTCATTTTTTTTTTTTGTATCTTGGGTTATCAATATATTTTATTTATTTTATTAGTCAGAACTTTTTTTTCCAGTATCGACGTAAGAAAGTAAGTTAATCAATAGTAGAGAACATAATATGGCATGAATTTTGAGATTTTGGCGAATAATTTCAACATTATTAGCTTATTTTTAAAGGTAAATCTTCGGATCTCAATTTGATGGATTATAAAAGACTAGCATATAATCGCGGCAGAACCACAGGGATTTTATTAGAGATTGGGGCCGTTGAGAATCTATACTTAGGTATTATCTAATTACTCGAGTTAGTAAAAGTAAAAATAATTCTCCGCGATCTTGGTATCAGTAATTTACTTAGGTTCTATATAATTTCACTGACAATAACTTCACAGACAGTTTTTACAGACAAATCGAATATAAAATAAGAGTATTACTCTACTAGAAAATAATTAGTAAATCCATGTTACTATACAAAAGAAACAGTACAAAAATACCGAATTTGAAAAAAACTATAAACTAAAATGTAATCTACTAGAACATAAATCATTAATACATTAAAGTTTGTGACTAGAATAAACTAGGACAAATTAACTAGTCTAAATCATTCGAGGCCAATTCGTGAATCACGAGTTAACAAGCTCAAAAACAATAAAGAATGAATAAATTTCTAAGATGCTTGAGGAAATAAGTACTGAGCATAAAAGAATAATGCATTCTAAATATTTAAAAAAACATAATTTATTATTAGCTTAAATATTCAATTCTCCGATGTTCCAAATCATAGATATACAAGTTATATACTGTAAATATTATAAAAAATAAATAATATCATAAATTTAAGAATTTGCTTAAATGAATACATGTATAAAAACTAACTTATTTTACTTCAAAAATGCCTTCAAGTCTTCGACATTAATACCTTTAGTTTCCATATTATGACCAGGATATATATAATCTATATCTTTCATTTGCGATATTTTTTCTATAGATTTATAATTATCGACTAAACTAGCTGAAGAGATTGCCATCAAAAAAAATCTAGGTGAAACATTAAATATCATGTCACCAACAATAATTGATTTTGTTGGTACGTGCTGATATGAAAGAGATCCTACGATATTATAATTCAATAGAAACGTTATATGTCAATAATAATAATAATAAAATAATGATAATAAAGGTTATTTACCAGCTGTATGTCCAACAGTAAAAATTGGTTTTAAAATTTTAGAGAATTCAAATTCATCTTCTTTTCCTTGCTGAATAGCAATTATCTTTTCTCTGCTTATAATGATACTATCATCTTTCGCAAGAAATTTAAATGCTTGAAACCAAATATTATCACTTTGTTGGCGTTTATATTGATTTTCACCAACAAGAAATGGTACTTCCAATTCTCCCGTAACAATCATTGCATCGTTATATTTTTCCAATAAAGCTGGAATTGCAGAAGTGTGATCATGATGACCATGAGTTAATGCAATGTATTTAATTTTATGATTCGGAAACGAGGAGAAATGGTTGGAAAGTGCTTGTAAAACTTTCGAGACGTTGTCTGAATCAGCAGCGTCAATAAGAACCCAGTCATTTGAAGGATGAATATGAACTAAGAATATTGCAACAGGGTATTTTGTAAAACAAAAAGTTAGGCCAAATGTTGCACGATAGAAATTTGGAGATATTTCAATAAATTTTTCGAAATCCGGAAGTGAGTTTAAGGAAGACATATTGTAATTCTCGTTATTGGAATGAATAAAGATTCTATCTGTATTTATATTTTACCTGAGTGATAATTTGCATTAGACTTTTAAAGAAATGCATAGAAATCTGATATTAACATAAGCTCGTACGTACGTAAGCTCATCCCGATACCGTAATACGTACGTATGTACTTATGTGCGTAACAGGTAAGTACGTACTTACGTGCGTAACAGGTAAGGTAAGTACGTACATACCTACGTACGTACTGTACGTACGTACCTACATACGTACTGAACGTACGTACGTAGGAGTATACAATAAAGTGGTACAGTTCGGTATTACAAATTATGACGAACGATAAAAAATTTGGTTTGATTTTATTATGCTCAGATGTACGCATGATAAGTTAGTATATAAAAGTGTATAACGATAATGCTTTATGATTTAAAAGCCATTTGCCACATGGGAGTTATGAATCATTATATGTGACAAATAAGGATTTACTAATTGATTCATCACACCAATAATCCTCACAATCAATTATTCTGTAGGCCTGACAGCTCATTTAGCCGACATCACACCAAGTGACAATTTACTAAAAATATATACTGTGAACCGGGAAATGTGACCAGGCCGGTGAGAAGGTGTGAACCGGTTCTGGGACGGAACTAGACCGGAGGCTAGGTCACACCAAGGTTCGTAGTCTAACAAATCAACAAACAAACACTACAAATCCAACAATCGACCTTACGTTGGAAGGCTGAAAGAGGGCGTGGAGGATTTGGTCCGGGTTGTAAGGTTGCAGAGAGGATTTCTTTAGGTAGGTGTCCTTGGGTTCTTGGGCTTTTATTCCAGGAGTTTCGGTTATGGTCTTTCGAGTTCTTTATACTTTCGAGATAGATTATACGGCACGTGATTTGGTCCTCTTTGCGATTGGTTATTGATGTTAACAATGGAAATTGTTAAATCAAAGGGTTTATCAATAGAACTATTTAGGGGTGATCTATTATTGATTTCCTTAAACTGATCAATTCTAATTAACACGGGGTTTTAACAATAACGATGACAAATTTATGACACCAAACTTCTACTCGAATTTCGAAGTATTGGTTCTTGACAGTTCGAACTTTATTAGAATTTATTTATTCCAACTTAGTAAGTTGTTATTTTTGAACTCCGAAAGTTTGACTTTCCAAAGTTGAACTTCTGAAAGTTATTTTTATTGAAGAAAATTTGGGTCACTTATATACATAATTTTTATTAATACAGGATAACAGAGATAATAAAGAAAATAGGAAAAACAGAAATCCGAGAGATTCTGGGGATCCTGGAGATCCGGGTTAGGATCTCTGAGATTTGGTGGATCTTAAGGATCCTAAGGATCTCGGCCAGGATAGTTGGGATTCTAGGGATCTGGGCGATTTCAGAGACGGAGAGGCGAAGTAAGTTTGCGAAGCCCCAAGATTAACAAGAATTTCGGTCAGTGTAACCTCGGATTATGAGTGCTTTCGGGGTTACCAGATTTGCCTTTTACACTGTACATTTAGAGGGATTTAACTATATTTATCGTTATAACTCCCTTAATATTTCAAGTGCCTAGTTTCATAGTAAAAAATTTACCCCCGTGATCTGCGTGACAAATCGGGTGCCTGATATAAAAACAGTTAAAAGTTTTCTTGAATAAATTATTTGTGTTATATTTATCGAGTAACCTCGTATATTTTGTATTAAATTGGCAGCAGATTATAGAATACAGCTTATTTTAAATGATAAAGTATTGAAATTGAATAACAATAAGATATTTAATACGGCACAAAGTGAAAAATCTGAAATCAAGATTTTCCCGGTAAAATTTTTATATAAAGCCTAATATTAGATTAAAATTTACTTCTTTCATCGAAAAATAACTATATTAAAAATTTTCAAATCCTTTCTCCAATAATTAGCATACGTATGTACATTAGTTTTAGAGAGTATATCTCTTGATCATTATTATTTATTAAATTGTTGTTCTCTTGATAGCTTTGTCATTCTTTTTCGACTTAAATGTCACTACCTTATAATGATGATTCCAAGAATGATGTATCAAACATAATCTACAATTATGATTGGTCAAAGACTTCACTTGGCCCTATAGAATCATGGGAACCCGCAGTCAAAAATGCTTTAGTAATTTAAATATTCTTTTTTTTTTAAAAAAAAAAATAAATAAATAAATAATAATAATACGAAAATTTTTTTAAAATATTGTTAGAATTTATGTCTTCAATCTGCAATTCCTATGAGTCTTTATCTCGGTCCAGACTGGCTCTACTTGTATAATAATGGTAAACAATTTAAAATTTACTTGCTTAATCTATTTAATTACTTATCCTGCTTTCTTATAAAGCATCTATACCAATTATAAAGATAAAACATCCACACGGTAATTACATACAGTAATTTCATTCTATATGCTTATAATTAACATTTCCATTTTCTAATTAATATTAAATAGCAATGGGAAAACCGGATAGAATGTTTGATTCCATCTTTGAAAAGTATAAGTTTAATATGTAATAGTTTTAAAGAAAATATTATTATAATACCCAAATTTACCTTGAATGTAATCAATATATATAGTATAAGAAGAACAGGCAAAGGCTTGATTAAAAATGATCAACTCATTGAATCGTTACGTGATGGATATTTAGAAGATGTATACATTAACTGCTCATTTAGTCCGATTTTTAAACCAGATGGCACAATCTGTGGTATTTTGAAAATCTATCAAGAAATTACTCAAAATGTTTTGAATACTCGAAGGTTAAAAACTATTGACGAATTTGGACGTCGAATTTCTGGTTAGTTTTATATTGTAAATATAATATAATTATTATTTATGAGTTTTATCTGTTAAAATATTTTATATTGCCATAATATCTCTTTAAGAGATTAAATCCTTAGAAAATGCTTGCAATATTATGATGAATGTACTAAGTGATAACAACAAAGATATTCCTTATGCATTAATTTATTTCATTGAACATAAATTAAATACTGGTTCTAAATCTCAAATTGCCCGCCTGATCGCTACTACCTTTGATGAAGTTGGTAAAGAAGGAAGGCTCTTTCCTGACTGTTTTCCAGAAACTCCTGAAATAATTGACTTGACCACCAAAGATGCAAATCAGAACTACGATACATATATAGAACTAAAACGAGGGACTGCAACTTATTCGTTCTTAAAATGTGATTCTTGGCCAATATCACTTGTAATAAAAGAAGGAAAGAATATAAAAGTATTTTTAAAGGACGAGCCTCAAGCTGTGCTCTTATTGACAAAAGTTCCACTTAGTGGTGGGCAAATTTTACCTGTTATATTAATTTGTGGTCTTAATCAGCGTCATGCACCTGATGAAAATTATATGGAATTTTTGCAAGTATGAAAAACATTTCATAATAATATTCTTATTAAGTTCTTGTTATTAATTTTGTTATAAAAAATAATTTATAATTTTTTAGCTCGTCACAAATAAATTGGGTACATATTTGCACTACGGAAATTCAATCGAAGAAGAAAAGAAGAGATCTAAAATATTAGCTGATTTAAACTACCAAAAGGATATGTTTTTTCAAGGCATCAGTCACGAATTTAAAAGTATTAATATTTTATAAAAGCCTCTTTTAAAATGCATTTTACAAATATACTAAACTTTGCTTTAATGTTAGCGCAATTAACGTTAATGCTTTCACCACTTGACGAAGTAATTAATATATGTCCAAAAGAAGCGCCAATAATGTCTCTTCTTCAAATTATACGACGTAATACTCATAGATTGCTTAAACTAATTAACATATTATTACAAGTAAGTTAGCCATAAAATAATATTTTATAACAATTCAGATAAAGCCTTTTGAAATTAAAACTTCGGTTAACAACATCCCCAATCATTCGACTTCCAATACATAATCTAATTAAATTGGCCATACACTTGGCTTAGTAAAGTGTTCACTTAAAATTCCCTCCTTAATACAAGCCCAAAATATTTATTATTATTACTCGATCAGAGACTTTATTAACAGCTATATATGAAAAAACATATGGGAAGGGGGTTCGCTATCCCGAGCTATAACTAGTGATGGGCAAATCACGGTTTTCCAAAATATCCCGCGCGGGATAGGATTACATTGTGGGTTTCTTAAAATTATGTTAATGCGGGCCGGCTAGCCTGAATTGAGGATTATATTAAAAATCCCGCGCGGGATCCAAAAAACCACGCGCATTTTACGCGCGTGATCCTGCGCATGCCCATCACTAGCTATAACCGAAACAGGCAATAGCTAAAAGGGATATGGGACCCCACAGCAAAAGGAGGGATGAGACAAAAAATTTAAATTTTTTATTTTTATGTTAATTATATTCTAATTGATTTAATTCCACAAATAAATTTTTTTTTGTTCCATCCCCCTTTTGCTGTGGAGAGTCCCATAGATGTAACGGCGCCTAATCTGTTGTCTGAAATGCAACTTAGAAATTTAACAGGTCTTTGTATTGCCTCTACAGTCGTGGAACCTATATATATAAGGTCCTTGCAATCATTCCCCATTTCTAATGACTTCGAATTATAGATAGTTACGTTGTTTCCGTGTTTTTTTTTAAAAAAAAGAAAAAAGGCTCTGCGGCTGCGATAGCATTGCGAAAGAAGGTAACCCTCCACATTCACTTTAAAATCCTTAAATATCTTAAAAACAGCATAAACCATTCACCTCCGCCTCATAAAAAATTATATGTATACCGCCTACTTGCCCTTTTAGCTTAATTCATAAGAGAACATATTATTCAAACAATGCACACGTGGTCTGCAATAAAGCTACCTGATCTTGCCAATAATGATCCTGTCACTTCGTTGACAGGATCCCAAAATATTGATGTTAACCAATTAATTAGCTTAAGAAACTCAATTTCGCCGACAATCTTTTCCCCGACAACAATTTTAGGCCAGAATTAAGGTTAGAGTTAGTCAAATTTATAGCTAGTGTTGGCTACAGATTTATTTTCGGTGAATTATTATTATACTATAACTAGTGATGGGCAAGTGCGTGATTTCTAATATGTTTCCTAATTCAGGCCAGTTGGCCCGCATTAACAAAATTTTAAGAAACCCACAAGGTAATCTCTATCCCGCGCATCACGCGCGTAAGCCGCATCCCACGGGATATTTGGGAAAACTGCGATTTGCCCATCACTAACTATAACCGAGTTATTATATAAAAACAGTTTTTTTTTATCAAATACCAGATAATCCAGAATTTTAATATGCTATTTAAAAAATTATTAGTCATACGTAATATATTAGTTGCAAAAGTTCTAAAAAGTGATGTTAACCGAAGATTTAAGGAAGTGGCCTAATTGGTTCTCAGAACTTTTATTAACTTCTCTTATATAGTTTTCAAATATAGAATCCGATCAATCAAATGTGCGTTATCGTGAAACTAATATAGCTGAATTTACTCGAGAATTAGTTTCAGATTTTGAAAAGATGGCCAAAACATTAGGGTTGGGTTATATTATAGATATTCCTGAAGAATTTAATCAAGCCGTTAGTGATAATGTTTATTTAGATCATGATATGTTTGAAACCATTGTATTTAATCTTTGTAAGTATTTTCTAAAAATATGTCAATATCTTTTTCGCATTATCTACTAGTTAAAACATGCGAGTTTATTATACTAAGATATTTTATTCGAATAAAGGTTCTAATGCACTAAAGCATACTTGGAATGGACATGTAAAAATTCGCTTATATATTGACTACAGAGATGAAAAAAAGATGATTGTTCTTGAAGTAATAGATACAGGTGACAATATTCTTTGCTATTCATAATTTCCATAAATATACTCTGCATGTTAGCTCTATTTTCTTCTTATCGCTAAATAGAATGAATGATTTTTAATTAGGTGTTGGTATTCCGGAAACCGCACTTCCAAATATATTTCAACGTTTTTATCGTGTAGAATCTCAAAGTTCACGTAGTCATGAAGGTACTGGAATAGGCCTCGCTATCGTCAAAGAACTTATTACGCTTCATGGTGGAGATATCACTGTAACTTCTATAGTTAATAAAGGGACGACGTTTAAATGCTGGTTTCCAATAGGATGCAAACACCTACCGGCAGATAAAATACATTTTAATGACATTGAAAACCCAATTATTCATGGTCAAGAATCATACACAAATAAACAGCTTTATTTGGAAGAGAGTTCTCAATGGTTAAAAAATAGTACATCTGAAACTAAGGAAGTAATGGATCAATTGTCAATAAATAATTGGGAAGCTGATAAAATATTAACGAAAGAGATCATGATTAATTCCTTTACCAGTATGGATGACCCTGTCGGGAAAAAATGTCAAGTTCTACTTGTTGATGATAATATTGATATGCGGTAAATAATTCTTCATTCGATCAAATAATAAATTTAATAAATTACTTCTCATTATTGACTATGTTTGTAGTGATTATTTGACTGATCTATTAAAAGAATTTGATATTTATCGTGCTTGCGATGGCCAAGATGCTTTAAAAGTTTTAAAAAAACTTAAAAAATTACCAGATTTAATCCTTAGCGGTAAGTAATTAAATAATATGTATTTCTAAGTTATTTATTAAAAAATTAAATTTATATAATTTAAATTCAATAGATGTCATGATGCCAAATATGAATGGATACGAACTATTAGATGAATTAAGGTCTAATAAAAAAACTCAATTTATTCCTATAATATTATTATCAGCAAAAGCTGACGTTGAATCTAAATTAAAAGGTAATTTAATCTATTAGATGATTAAATGATTAAATATTTTTTCAATTAATTTTATTTTTTTAATTTATTAATTTTTAGGTTTAAATAATGGAGCAGATGACTATTTAATAAAACCATTTTCTGCTCGAGAACTAATTACTCGTATTCGATCTAATATTAAACTCTCATTTCTTCGTCGTAAAATAATATTTGAACAATGTAAACAAGAAGAAACAAAACAATTACTATTTTCAATATCGAATAAGATTCTTTCCGGATTAAGTATGAAGGAAACATTACAATATATTGTTAAAGAAATTCATCATAGATTACCAAGTGAAAGAATATTTATTATTTCGAATGAAAAAATTGAATCTAAGAATAAAATAATTGCCTTATATGAAGACCCGAATCCTTTCTTAGATATTATTGATAATAATAAAAATAATCCACAAGTATTCAATAATAATTCAAGAATTAATATTTCTTCGGATATATATAGTGATGACGTTAAGAAAAATGTATCCAAACTATCTGTAGAAATAAGATTAAATAATGATTTTTGGGGATGGATAATAGCATATAGACCCCCAAATTCTATTTGGTTTGATTTTGAAATAGAATTATTAGAGCAAGTATCGAATCAAATAAGCTTAGCAATTACTCATGCAGAATTATTAGAAGAGAATATTGTAAAGAAAATTCAGATAAAGGCTGCTGAAGCTGCAAATTTTGCTAAAAGTCAAATATTAGCAAATACTTCTCATGGTATGCTGTTTTTGCGTACAGTACATTACTATAACATTTATTACAGTATATTAATACTGTAGCTAATTTTATTTCAATTTTAATTTTATAGAATTACGAACACCACTAGGAGCGATAGTGGGTATTCTTTCTTCCTTCGAGAGTTCTAATTTAACTTCTGAGCAGAGAGACATGATTGATATTCTTTCACATTCTTCTGAGATAGTGTTATCTATAGTGAAAGATATTCTTGATGCAGCAAAATTAGAAGCTCATAAAATTACTCTAGCTAGCAGAACATTTGATTTATATGAATTAATGGATAATACAATTGAAATATTTGAAAAAGAAGCTGGGGATAAAAAGATTGAGATAATCGTAAATTATGATATGGATGCGTTACCAAAATATGTTAAAAGCGATCCTGATAGGTGATTTAACAATATTCTATTAAATGCAAAAAAAAAATAGGAATTTATTACTTACCTCGTTTCTTATAGGCTAAAACAAGTTTTATCACATTTATTATCAAATTCGTACGTAATTATAATTAAATTTTTTTTGATTACATAACCCTTCTGCTGTATAATAATCATATAATCATATTTAATTTTTAGAATTAAATTTGAGAAAGGCGAAATTGGGCTAAAAATTTTAATACAATCACAAAAAATCATTGATGAAATCGATGAAATCAAAGAAAGTACGACTTACAATCAAAAAGCGAATTTACTAATTGAATTATATGATACTGGTATTGGGTAAGCTAATTAAGATTGTATGCTTTTTATTGTATCTTAATAAAGATTAAAACATCTAAATAATTTGTTCTTCTTTTCTTGTTTTTGAGATTCTTCTAAATAAGAATAGTTATGACAAGTAGTCATAATATGCTACTAACATGCATTAGTAAAATATTTGAAGCTAGATTTAAGAAAACTTATACTCTTTATAGAGAGAATTGTTAGATATAGCAAGTCACTTATATATATATAATTAGCTTAGTACTTAAAGATTGTTAATATAGAAACTTTTCTAGTACTTTAATAAAGTTGTGGTATAACTGCTAAAAGATAAAAAAAAAAATTAGCTATTAATATTATACTTAATAGTATTATCTCAACTATAAGTTATCGTAGAGCTAGTTAATTATAAAGCAAACTTATTAAAGTAGTTTATATTCATTTTATAGATTTACTTAGATTAGACTCTTGTAGATATTTATATAATCTTAGAGTTTACTATAGTTCTTTACTAGTTAGTTGATCTAATCTTTTTCTAGTATTTAGCTAGTTGTTTTACTCTTCTATTAAATAATCTCAAAACTTTCTATCTTTATTAGATTAAGTTTTTTTTTTGAATTAAATTTTAACTAATATAATTTTGTAAAAAAGCTATATTATTTAACTAATCTGAGATTTCTACTATCAAATCTTCTGCTTATATATCTTATCAAAATTTTTTTGTATAATATTTGTTATACTTCTAAGTTTAAATCAATTTAAAAAACAGAGTTTACTATAATATTGAAGAAGAGAAAAATAGTGAGTTAGTTGCTCATATTTCTAGGTCCTCACATAACATTTTTCAATAGATTATTGAGGAAGAATAATTTAGTAAGGCAAGCAATTGAACATATTACACAGGAAAAACAAATTTAATAATAATAAATTTTATATTTATAACAGACTTTATTTAATATTTATTTATTTGATTTTAAATATAATAGTCAAGAGGTGAAAAGAGTTATCTTCTAACTTCAGACAAAGAGAGAACTTTTTATAACTAAATTTAAGAAAAGCATTCTGCAGCTTATTCCCTTTTACCCTTCTAATATTTCTTTTTTTTCTTCATTTTCATAATTTTCTCTAAATTATTCTTTAACTCATGTTTCTCTTTTTTCATTAACTTCTTTTTTCTGTAGATCCTACTCATAGTATTGCAGCTGTATAATCCTAAAAATTATCTTTGCAGTGCCAAGGTTCAGCTATGAGCTTGTGAAGGTGAATTATTTTACCTTTTTCTTGTTACACATTGTATTAATTCTGCCTTGACTTTCTTCCTTTTAAGATTAGTTAATATTTCTTTTGTGCAGAACTAGGCTTAGTATCATAAGCAGATTGCTGGGGCTTCTCCTGCATACAATGGGGAAAGATTGGGTTATATAATTGATAGTTTGGGGTTGCAATCCAAATTATGATCTCAGTCACATTTTCAGTTACGTTTTCAGAAATCTTTGCACATTGGCTCCAACTTAGTTTACCTCTAACAATATATTACAAAGTTTGAAAAATTATTCAAATTCATCAATAGTGAAATTTAAACTTAAATTTATTATATAATAATTTGATAATCTAACTACTATACTAAAATTACCAAACCTGTTATTTGATATTTTTACAAAGTGTCTTTGCTAATATATTATGTAATTTAAGACTTTGTATATAAAAAAAATAAATAACTAATATCTTCTTTTTATTTTTATATTTATTTAAATAATAGTAAATATTAGATTAAAATAATATACATTAACTATGCAGAGATTAGATAATTTATTTAATAAAATTTCAACTCTATTTGTTATCACAATAAGAGTTATACTTAGACAAATAACAAAACCTTTATAATTTTCATGAATCTTTATCTATTTTATATGCTTCATCAATACAATTTATGAAATTTTTATTTTCAAATTTTTTATTAGTTGCTAGTAAGTATCTATAAGTTGTCACATTATGCTTATTATTATCCCAAATATTTTTGTATCTGAATATATTTTGGCCATATAGATACATAATCTTTAACTAACATGAGGTGTCTTTAATTAAAACAGCATATATTTACATTTTTAGAAAAAATAAGTTTTTATTAAATTCATATATATTTTGACATAATTAATATTTTTCAATTATAAAAAATAGAGATAATATAGAAGAATGTAAAAGGAAAATTATATGAGGCCAAGCACATTACAAGATTATTTAATAGTTGCTTGTTACTTTTAACTAATTAAAATCATGAAATTTGGTTAATTCAGATTAGTCTGAAAATCAAAACAAATAATGATATTATCAAATTTATTTGTTAAATTTTGTATTAAATCAGTAGATTTATTAGCTCCAGTTTTAGCTGTAATTAGTAAAACCTTTTTTTTAGTGAGTCTTCTATAATTTTTTCAACACTATTTATATAGTTTAGTAGGGTCCAAAGAGTACCTGATTTATTTGTTTTAATTATATCAGCTAGGTTGAATAATCTATCAAATTTTAAATTACTAATGACTGGCCAAGTCAAATTTATTAACTGTATAAACTTTGTTATTAATGGTTTTAAAAATGGTGTTATAGAAAAACGTGACATTTCAACATCTTTGAAAATTTGGGAATATATCATATACATTAAGTTTTTTAAAATTTTATCATGTGAATTTATTTATTAGTTACGAGGTCTTAATTCTGTTTCTCATTTATTAAAAGTTCTACTCATGCTTTTATACATTTCAGTCAATAGGAAAAGTATCCTTTTTAGAACTTACTACTTACACAAGAAGCTTCGTGCTATCACGCTATCCTCATGCTAATATGTATACAGCCTTACAGATTTAAGCAAAAGGGCTTTAACTATCGTTATTACTAAATACGTACAAATACTTGATCTTACCCGTATCAGAGAAGTTACGATTTTCAAATCATAATAGTAGCATAAGCAGTTTAAGAATGAACTTAGCCATGGGTTATGCTATGGCTTAGCTTTGACTGATACCGACATTACGGCTTATAATTACGGCACTACTACATTAAGATCTTATGTCGTATTAATTTACCATATTAGATATGGTAGAATGCCATAATGCCGTTACTCATTAATTCTACCATTAGCTATATTTGATATCTTGGAAAATTTGTATATCTCTGCAATTATCAATATTCTTATTTCTACTTGAACAGTTATGTCAGGATCACATATGAGATATATTTAAAATAGAACAAAATGCTAGTTGTATAATACAAAAAGAATAACTCTAGATATTATAATGTAATTGGAAAGATCTGTTAAAAATTTTCAAACACCTAGTTCGAAAATTAAATGTATAAGATTTAACAAGAATAAAAAGACAAAGCACACCACAAATAATATATTTTGTTCTTAGTACGTAATTGTTCTATATTTATATATTGACAATCAGACCTTTGTATCTTCAGTCTAAATAATTTCATAATTCGCTACTCGCTTTAGGATACTTGAATTTTCGTTTTAATTGATATGCAGACTCTTGTTATTTTTATCAGTAGAATCGTTTTTTACCATATGCATAAATTGATTAACTTTTTCCATGTAACTGGAGTATGAATAACGGAAGTTATTCCTCCAACATTTTTAATTACTTTTTTTGCCAGCCCAATTCCTTCATTACCTGGGAATACTATAAATATTAATACTAAATCATTATTACCATTCATTTCTCTAAATTCTAATGTTACTTTCATGGTCTCTTCTTCGTTATTTTCGTAAAGTCTGATGAATACTATATCATAAGCAAATTGCTCACTCCACTCCTTGTATGCTTTTGCTGCTTTGATACCCTCGTCAAAAGTATCGAATGCATCAACTTTTTTGGCTTTTTTAAGAAATTTTAATATAGCATTTCTCGCACCTTCAATTGGATGAATTATTAATATTCGTTTTTGTTTTATATCAGGTAATTTATCACTCATTAGTTTATCAAATTGTGTATCTAATAATGCAACATTCCACGTAAACCAAAATTTACTTCCTTTTCCTAACTGGCTTTCTGCTTTAATTTCTCCTCCATTAATTTCTACTAGACTTTTGCAGATTGAAAGACCAAGTCCTGTGCCATCTTGTTTCCTAGTTATTGACATGTCACCCTTTGAAAAACTTTTCCAAGAATCAGGTATATATTCTGGGTTCATACTATTATAAATTATTTAGATGTCTTAATCTTTATTAGGATACAATAGAAAGCATACAATCGTAATTAGCTTACCCAATGCCAGTATCATATAATTCAATTAGCAGATTCGCGTAAGTCGTACTTTCTTTGATTTCATCAATGATTTTTTGTGATTGTATTGAAAGTTTTAGTCCGATTTCACCTTTTTCGGTAAATTTAATTCTAAAAAATTAAACCAAATTATTATAGATAGTTAATGTAATCAAAAAAATTTTTTTTAATTATATTTACGTACGAATTTGATAATAATTGTGACAAAACTTGTTTTAGCCTATATAATGTATAAGAAACAAGGTAAATGATTAATTTTCTACTTTTTTAAATTTGATAGAAAATTGTTAAATAACCTATCAGGATCGCTTTTAACATATTTTGGTAACACGTCCATATCATAATTTACGATTATCTCAATCTTTTTATCCCCAGCTTCTTTTTCAAATGTTTCAATTATATTATCGATTAATTCATATAAATCAAATATTCTGCTATCTAAAGTGATTTTATGAGCTTCTAATTTTGCTACATCAAGAATATCATTCACTATAGATAACACGGTCTCAGAAGCGCGTGATAAAATATTAATCATGTCTCTTTGTTCAACAGTTAAATTAGCACTCTCGAAGGAAGAAAGAAGGCCCACTATCGCTCCTAGTGGTGTTCGTAATTCTATAAAATTAAATTGAAATTAATTATAAAATTATAATATATAATATATATAATAAATATTTTAGTAATGTACTATATGTAACGAAAATAGCGTACCATGTGAAGTATTTGCCAATATTTGACTTTTAGCAACATTTGCAGCATCAGCAGCCTTTATCTGAATTTTCTTTAAAAGATTCTCTTCTAATAATTCTGCATGAGTAATAGCTAAGCTTATTTGATTCGATACTTGTTCTAATAATTCTATTTCAAAATCGTACCAAATAGAATTTGGAGATCTATATGCTATTATCCATCCCCAAAAATCATTATTTAATCTTATTTCTACAGATAGTTTGGATACATTTTTTTGAACATCATCACAATATATATCTAAAGAAATATCAATTCTTGAATTATTATAGAATGTTTGTGATTTAATTTCATTATTATCACTAATATCCATGGGAGGATTCGGGTCTTCATATAAGGCAATTATTTGATTTTTAGATTCAATTTTTTCATTAGAAATAATAAATATTCTTTCACTTGGTAATTTATGATTAATTTCTTTAACAACGTATTGTAATGTTTCCTTCATACTTAATCCGGAAAGAATCATATTCGATATTGAAAGTAGTAATTGTTTTATTTCTTCTTGTTTACATTGTTCAAATATTATTTTACGACGAAGAAATGAGAGTTTAATATTAGTACGAATACGAGTAATTAGTTCTCGAGAAGAAAATGGTTTTATTAAATAATCATCTGCTCCATTATTTAAACCTAAAATGAATAAAATTAAAAAAATAAAATTCATGAAAAAAATAATAGTCTATTTAATCATTTAATTAACTAATAGATTAAATTACCTTTTATTTTAGATTCAACATCAGCTTTTGCTGATAATAATATTACAGGAATAAATTGAGTTTTTTTATTAGACCTTAATTCATCTAATAGCTCGTATCCATTCATATTTGGCATCATGACATCTATTGAATTTGAATTATTTAAATTAATTTTTTTTAAATAAGTAACTTAGAAATACATATTATGATTATTTAATTACTTGCCGCTAAGGATTAAATCAGGTAATTTTTTAAGTTTTTTTAAAACTTTTAAAGCATCTTGGCCATCGCAAGCACGATAAATATCAAATTCTTTTAA